CTATTTCTATTAATACTTAATTAATTGCTTGTTTTTAATAACTTCTTCAGATTCTCTTTTTTCTATTTACTTGTTATTTTCTTATTTTAATTTCCTTCTCTGTTACTACTCAACGATTCTTATTGACACTATCTTTAATATCATAATGTTTTCATCTTTCTCATATTCATTATTTATTTCTTATGTCACTTTTTATTCACTTTTTCGTTGGTATTTCTGTAACAATATTAGATTTTATTACTATTTCATTTGTTCTTCAATACAACTTTAAATATTTACTTTTCATTATTTTTCTTTACAAATACAATGAATTATTTGAAAGCAAAGGCAATAAAATTTATTGTATGTTTTACATAAAAAAAAATCTGTAATTTAAAAATACAATGAAATATAAATAAAACAAATAAACATTAGATATTATTATCAATGAGCGATATTTTTATAACGAAGTAAGTAAATCTTGTACTCTAGAATCGAGAAACTTGCATTTTTCTTCATTAGTATCTAAACTGTTAATATCTTTCGAATAAAATAAATAAAAACAATACTCACAAACTTAAATGCATTTTCATTGTTAATGAATAATTTAATAAAGAATCATTAAGGTATAATTCATAAACACCAACTCCATATTTTGCTATTTGTATCATTAGCCGTAAATCATCAGCAAATTTCCATTCAGATTTTAAATAAAATTCTTGAAGTTCAATAGGAATAATAAAATTATTAATTTTAATATTTTTAACTGAACGAATTATTCTTCTATATAAAATTACATTTGTATAAATATTAACTTGTAGTGTTTTTTCTTTAATAAATGAATTAATAACATTTTCTTGTAATGAGGTTTTATCAAATATATTAAACTCATTTCCTGAATTCCATGAATTAATATCATTTCCAAATCTTAATAAATAACTAACAATCATTTCTGCAAATTTTCTTGCTTCTTTTTCTTTGATTATTGGATGAATTTTTTTTAATAACTTCATTAATTCATTATAACTTGATTCATATTTTTCATCAAAACAATCATCTTCTTCAATTGTACATTTAGTTTCAAATGTTTCTGTTTCTTCAGTTGAATCAATTGCTCCTTCTTCTTCAATATTGAAATTAAAATAATTACTGATGTTTTCAGTAGAAGAAGTTACTAAATAATTCTTTTCATCATTACATTCTTCTAATACTTTTTCTGTTTTATTCAACTTATTGTCTATTTTATCATGTTTTTCTTCTTTTTGAATACCACCTACTGATATTTCATTATTAATAATTTGTTGTTTTATTGGAATTATTTTTTTAGAAACAGGTTGTTTTTCTTCTTTATCAACTATTGTATCACGAGGTTTCTTTAGTTCATTTCTTTCAGAATTAATGATATCACTTTTAACAATAAACGATTTATCATTATCATTTTGTTGTGTTTTTAATTGGGTAATTGTAGAATTAGAATTTCTTAATAATTGTTCTGGTTGTTGTTTTGATTTTTCTTTTAATGAAGGAATTGATTTTCGTTGATTAGATTTTTTTTGTTCTTTATTTTCTTTTTTGTTTATTATTTTTTCTAAAGGTGTCTTAATTGTGTTTTGTTCTTCTTTCTTTTGTGTTTCTGATTTTTTATGAATTGAAGTATTTATTTGAGTTGGAGATGTTTTAAGAATTGAATGATGTTGAATTATTTTATGATTTCCTCCTAGAGGAAGGCTATTCATCGAATGGTATTCATTATTATCAATTGGAGGAAGTTCTGAACTATCAGCTGATGCTAAATCGATAGAATCTGTTTGTTTTTGTTTACTTGAATAATCTGTAGTCATTCGATTTTGTTGTAAATTTGAAAATGGAGTTGTATAAGAAATTGGTTGATAAGGAGAATAACTTTTTTGTTGTTGATTAGAAGAAATTTTGATTTGTTCTTTAGAATAAGGAGTTAACGTAGTTACTTGTTGATGTGAATGAGTAGGATTATGTTCTCTTGACTGAATTAAATCATTTTGTGAAATTTGTTCAGAAATTTTTTGTTGTGGAATTTTATTTAATATTAATGGTATACGATGATGACATGAATGACAATATCTAGTTGGTACAAAACCTTTTTGATATTTAGGAATTTGAGTAGATCGATGAAACTGTTCCATTTGTGGTTGATTTCTTTCATTCATAACACTATGTTGAACTTCTAATGAATTTATATTTCTATGAATAGAATATCTATCGAATGGTTCATTTATATGTCTTTCTAATGATGGTGGAAATCCATATTCATTTAAAGTAGTTTGTCTTGTATGAAAGTTTTGATGAGAAACAGGAAAATATTTTTGTGGATTACTTGAAGAATTTGTAAAGAGATTAGGATTATTTCTTTCTTCATAGAAAAGGTTTTGAGGCATTTGAGAACTTTGAGGTTGAGAATGAAGATGATGTTTTAAAAAAAGACGTTGTCCTCTTGTTGATGAAGGTTTGTGACTGATATAAGAACGAAAAGGTTGTCTTGGTGGTTTATTTTCATATGACACAAAGTCTTTAAAATCACCTTCAGTGCCACCATCCACATCAATCACACATATTCTTTCAGGAGTTTTCTTTTCATGATATCCTGTGTTATCCATTTGCATTTGTTTTGTTATATTTTTCTTTTACACGTCATCGTTTAGGGTTTTTATAATGTTATTAATTTCTATTTTAAGTTTTAAAATTAATATTTAAATAATTCAAGAAGAAATTATTTCTAATAGAACTTAGTATTATTTATCAAATTAATATTATAACTTTTTATCTATTTTTATATGATGACGTGTTTTTTTTATTTTTCATTATTAAACCCTCATTTTTATGTTATATAAAACATATATTAATTGATTTTAAAATTATAAAAATCTAATCAAAATTAGTATAAAGATTATTTCCAAGCCATTGATCTATTTCTTCTTTGTTGTTGCTTAGCAGAATCTCCAATAAATTCTGTTTCATCTCCTATAACAATTGGTGCCATTTGGAAAATTCTTGCTGGATCATCACCGTCTGCTCTATTTATTAATGGTGTTAAATTACCTTTTTTTGTCCAATCCATTTGTAAACACGCTTTAGCTTTTCTATTACGAGAACGAGCATCTTCATCACTGTTATAATAATCACTAATTGGATAACTTGGTTGTTCTTTCTTTTCTTCTATCATTGCTTGAGCAGTTTTTGGTGGTCTTGATGAATTTTGTGGCTTAGAAAAATTAAAGTCATCTCTGATTGAATGAGATGATTTAACAGTAGGAATTGGTGTAGTATTGTGTTGTGAATTAATTCTTTTAAATTTTTCTTCAATACTTATCATTGTATTTGGTTTAACTTGTGTTGATCCTGAAGTTTGTATTTGTGGTTTTCCAATAGGAGATAATACTGGAGAAGATGCTTGTTGATATAATTTTTTATGTGTTCCATATGGCGAATTAGTAAGACCATTTCGAGTTAGTTGACTTGGACTTCCGAGTGGTTGATTTGGTTTTGCAAGTTTAGGATATTTTTTTTGAATAGCAGGAGAAAGCTCCATGTTTGATGTATTTTTATAAGTACTAGGAGATGTCTTTGGAGAGTATTTAGGAGTTTTTTCATTTAATAAACCAACTGGTTGTTGAGACACGGGGTATTTTGGTTGAACAGATGTTAAATTCTTTTTTGATTGAATAAAACTACTGGTAAGTATTTCTTTAAAATGGTTTTTATCAATATCAGTTGGGTCAAATTTTTCTCCATTAACTGGATTTATATATTTCATTTCTACAGCAGGTTTTTCAATTTCCGTGAACCTTGTTTCTGGTATGCCTAAAGTAGGTCCATTTAGAATAGTTTGTTGTAAATCTGACATTTGAGAAATTGGTTCTTCTTCCATTTGGATTTGTTTAAAAGTACTTGGGTTAGCAGGGACTGAAATGTCAGCTACAGTATTTGTTTTTTGTTGTAGTCCAAATGGTTGAGGAGTTACGAATGAATTAAATTGAGAGTTATTTGTATTAAGATTGACTTGTTGATTCGTTGACTTTACAAAAACTAAAGTAGAAGAAATTGTTTGAATAGGAATAACATTTATACAATCAGGAAGATGATAAAAATCATCTGGAAAATGAAGGTTATTCGCCTCGAACATCTTTTTGCATTCATTCATTGTTATAATATCCATTATTTTATTCTTTTTTTTTTCTTTTAAAATATTAGTTCTTTTTTTTTCTTTTTTTGACTAAACATTATTCCTTTAAATCTTTTATTAAAATTTACTTTAGTTTTTTGTCTTTTTAATTAACTACTAAAAGTATTTTTGAGATAATAAGAAAAACTAGAAAGTGAAGTTTAGTTTCTAACTTATTTTTATGTTTTATATAACGTTTTATAAATACAATCTTTATAAAATTTGGATTAATAAAAAACAAATCTACAGAAAAACAAAAAGATGAAAAACATCAAAAATATAATTATTCTCTTCTATTAAAATAAATTATGTACATTTAAATAAGAAAGAATATTTAATATTCCTAAGAACAAATAAGAGAGATTGTATTCATCAAGAGCATTCTTAGTATAGTTAGTTAATACAACTACAAGAACTATAATTAAGAGTAATACTTATTATAAAAAACCATAAATAATAATACATTTAGATTAATAAAAAAAAAAAAATAAACTACATGAATAAATATTGTTTAATAATAAAATTATTTTTGTATAAATATCAAAACGTTCCTTTCTTTCAAATATATCTAAAATTCTTTTTTTTTTAATAAATTCCATAAAAAGTAATAATTGACTTTAATCAATTAAGTTGATGATTAAATTAAAAAACGTTTTTTACTTTGTAATAATAAACAAATAAGACTTATCTTTTTTATATCAAATCATAATTTTATTGAAATAAATGAAAAAATATTCGTCATAAACAAAAAGATAATAAAAAAATAAAGAAAAAAAGAAATTCATATTAAATAATTATTTTTTATAATTCAAAGAGAAAAAAAAAAGAATAAAAAAGAAAAATTGAAATTAATAACTTTTTTGAAAAATAAAAATTAAGATTCAAAACTACGTAAAAACTTCTTTTTAAAAATTGATTTTTATTAAATCATTTTTCATTCATTTAATTCTTTTTTTTAGGTACAAAAACTGGAGTTACTGTTGAAATTTGTGGTTGTCTTTGGTTTTGATAGGTAGTCATAGGGCGAAGACCAACCTGTGCTGCGTCTGGTTGTGGTGGAGGAATATTAAATCCATTTATTAATTTACCACCATATCCTACTGGTCTTGATATTCCAGTAATTCCAGGAGCTAATGGAGGTATTACTGGTTGAGCTAATCCTTGAGGAACAGTTTGATTAATTGAAGGTGTCATAATTGGAATTGCAGCATTAAATTGAGGAACTCCAGCATAAACAGGATTTAATTGAACATATCTTGTCATAGGAATAGCTACACCACCAGGACCAGTTCCAATAGGTCTTCTAGTTTGATATTGCATTGCTTGTTCAATTCTAATAGGACCTTGAGGACCTATTGGATGAGTTTGAGCATACGATGAAGATTTTAAAGATTTTTTTGGTAACATGTCATTAGTACGTTTTCTATAATCTGAGTGTGCTAAATGAATAAACAAAGGATTTAAATAGAAAGTTTGTATTTGATTTAATTCAATAATAGGAATATTTAATTTCTTTAATTCAGTACAAGGTTCATACTTAGAAGGAGTATATTTAAATAATAAAGAAGGAATTTCAATTTGTTTTAAACCATCTCTAGAATTTTCTTTTGGTTTAAAAACATCATTTTCTTTTAAGAATTCTTTTTCTTTATATTTTTTAAGTTTATTAATAATATCTAATATTTTTTCTTCTTTTTTAATATCTTCTATTTTTTTTGTTATTTTCTTTTCAATTTTTTGTATTTCATTATCCCAAATATTATTATTAATTATTGGATTTGTTTCTAATTCTTGTGGTGGTGTTGTAAGAGGAATTGGTTGTTGTAATGAAGTAGATATTAATGGTAATTTAATATTTTTATGTTCATTTAATGGACTTGGAATATTCCTATTAGAAGAGGTAGAAACAGTATTTATTAAAGGAGGTTGAGAAGAGATTGGAGGGATATTAATAAAAGAAATATCAGGTTTGTTGTTTTTAATAGATAAAGTATTTACATTTTCTTCTTTAGCTTCATTACAAGAAGAAGAGATATTAATTTCTTTTTGATTTTTATAATGATATAAATTATCTAATATACTTTCAACTAATTTTTCTTTTGAAATTTGAACAACTCGTTCACATGGAATATAATGATTTCTTGCAAATTCATCTATTTTTTTTTCTTTTTTTTCATTTATTGTTGGTAATATTTGATTATTTATTTTTTCTCCAACTAATATTACATCAACTGCTCCAACAATACTTTTAATTTCAAGTCCAATACTTGACTTCATTAATATAACTGATTCTACAGTAAAATATCTTAAAGCATCAACACATTCATCTGATACAATAATACATCCTCCTTTAATTTTATATATTCCTGCTAATACTGAAGTATCTTCAAATTTTTTAAGAATAATAATTGGTGTTGGTCGAATAATTTGTAGTGCATGTAATACCATACAAATAAACCTTATGTTTTGTGTTACAACTGCAAACCTTTGTTTATTTCTAATTAATGAATCAATAATATCTAATAATGGTTGTAATGATTGACATCTTCTTAAAGAGTCTAATAAATTTACTTTAGGTAATTGTGGAAGACGTATTGTTTCTAAAGGAATTATTTTTCTTTTTAAAATAATTTCATCCATTACATTATTTAATCGTTGATTATCTGAACTTTTAATATCAAATTTTTTTGATTGAATATTTGATCTAATAACAAGAAATTCTGGAAATTGAGGTATTTCTAATTTAGGTGGACTATTAAATTCTTTTGGTTTAATTAATTTTAATGGACGAGGAGCATTTATTTGTCTTAATGTTGAAGGAGGATGAACTGAAACTGTTAATATTAATGAACGTAATAATTGAGCTAATGACTCTATATGAGAAGTATTACATCTTTGCCAAAATGTTGTTGGTAAATCATTAGGAAATAATAATGAAAGGTGTCGAGGAAAACAAGGTTGTAAAGATGTAATAAAAAGTACTAAAGAATCATACTGAAGATTTGTCAATAATATTGGTGTATTTAAATCATTTGATTCTGTTAATTCATTTTCATAAACTATTAAATCAAATTTACGTTGACTTATTTGTTTTAAACATTGTTTTAATATTGAATGAGTTACAATTATTACATCAGATATTCCATTTGCAACTCTTCCAATAGTTTCTTCATCTGAATCATTTAATGCAATTACTTGTGAATATTTAGCAAAACATGGTAATAAATCAACAATACTAGTTTTAGTACATTCATCTTTTAAAACAATTAGTACTGGTAATTTTTCTCCATTAAAATTATTGAATACTTCGATAATTGGAGGAGTTTCTTTATATAACACAATCGCCGCCTTAATTTCTTCAACAATACATATATCTTCTTTTGTATTTATTTGACATCTTTTAACAGACTCAACTGTATTAACAACTTCAGCCATTTGGTTTTTTGTTAATCCACCAATTTTTTTAAGTATATTCATTGGATCTTCTTTAACATCGTTTTCATTAGGAAGTGGGCAACTTTTAAAAATTTCTATTACTTCTTTATATTGTGAATGTTCATTTATTTTCTTTTTATCTCCACTCATCATTTTCCAACCTCCAATAGCTTCCCAATAGTTTTGAATATAATATGATATAGTTTGTGCAATTTTAATGCCATTCATTAATTTCTCTTTATTTGATTTTCTTTCCCATTCTTCTTTTTCTTTTACTGCATCTATAGCAATTTCATGAGCAGTTTCTTTAATCTTTTCTTTTTCATTTTTTATATTTTTATTACATTCAATTACCTCATTAATAACATTATCCCATCCTCCCAATATTCGTTTTGGTCGAGGTTGTGGTTGAAGGTTCATGCACGTTTCCATTTGTTTTTTCTCTTTTCTTATAAACTATTCTTTTACTATTTTTTATTATACTACTATTATTTTAAATCTATCATTTTATTACTTTTAAGATTGTTTTTTTTATTTTCTTAACTTTCTTTTTCATTTTCAATTAACTTAAAATAATTTAGTACCTACATCTTTTATAAATATTAAAGAAATATAATTTGAAAGATAATTTACATATACTGAAGATGAAGTAGAATTTAATTAGCTTTAATATAATAAATAAAATAATAAAAATGTTGTAATAATAATGATTTATTTAATTTAAATGAAGTAAAACACAATTTTCATTCTTATTATTCTTTTGTGTTATGTTATATTGAGAGAACCTTTTCCAATGCAGGAAATACAACA